ACCCATTGGTAGTTAACAGAACCAACTTTCTTCACCTTTGGAAAACTGGAACTGCCTTTATCTGTCTCCAGTTCATTTGGAAAATCTCTCTTTTAAAAGCCCTCAAGGATCAAGGACAGCAGCAAGTTCTTTCTCAATCTATCCTGGAATGCAATTCACCCAGGCCCAAATACATGGTCCCATTTAGGTAAACTTCACCCTGTGGAGCTTTCATTCTCCTTTACCAATGATCATTCTACCTTTTTCAGGATGAAGATCATTTTCCTTGATGAAGAGGACAGAAACAAAATAGGATTTTCAGAGTTCTGCTTCCTCCATTTTACCCACCAGCAGTACACCACCAGTTCCAAATAGCAAATCCATTCCTCCTTTCACCATTTTCTTGCTCTGAAGATAAATATAAGTACCTCAAATCTTTCTTAGCAATTCTTGGCAGCTTCTATTCATTAGTGGCTTTAGTTGCTATTCTTACAGATCTAAGCCTTCTTACATTGCACTAACTTGACTCTGTGTTCCTGTATTTCTTTTGAAATTGATCTCCAGTCGGCAAGAAACAACAGTTGGAATTGGGTGACAGGCATACAGGGTTTCATTGGGCTAGTCTTCTATTTTTTGAAGTTTCCGAAAACAAAAAAATCAAACAAGTATTTACATAAATGCAGAGACAAGTAGAGACAGAAACAGAGATGACATGAGATTCCCCCATTTCTTCTTCACTGGGATGTATTTTTTTTTTCCTTAAACTTTCTTTTGTTGGTTGGACTAATTTGAAGTAAAGTCTGAATTGCAGTTTCTCTGAGCATCTAAAACCTTTTATTTTTCACCCCAGATTCCTATGTTGTTTTTCTTTAACTGCCTTTTCTTCGGAATGTTTGCAATCTACCTGGCCAACCTCTAGTTTACATTCTAATCATGCCCATTCCTCCCTCCCTGTCAGGAACACAAACGTTAGGTTACCATCTTCTGCACCAGTTCCTCTATCATCCTTTAGGACCGCAGCACCAGCATGACTTGTGAGAGCATCAGAAACCCAAATTCACAGCTCCCACCTGACCTCTATATTAGAATCTCTGGGGATGGGGCCTGGGAAACTCTCCAAATAAATCTTAATGCATGTTGAAGTTAGAGAACCACTCTGTAGGAAAAGAAACTGTTCCAATCCAAAGGTTGTCAGATAAAGGGCTTTCAACTAGCCGTGATTTCCATCAAATGCCCAGACTGCGCCTGAGAGTCCTTCATACCGTGGTATCCACTGACCACAATTATCTTGTATGTATGACAAACTCATCGTCCCTCCCCTTGGCCAGCTGGCGTAGAGCATACTTCCACTCCTCTATCTAGCCCTGTTCCTCTCCTGTTCACCTCCTTTTGATGATATTTCATCTCATTCCACTCACTGGATCTAAGATCTCAATGCTAATTTCTTACAACATACCTCTATTTCCTTTGCTTTTAACAAATCTGAGTCTTATAAAAAATACTACTCTACCACTGTTACATTCAAATGCTAAGTCCGAACCCAGAAAGTCACCAAGACAGTCAAGAGATGTTTATTCGCTTCCCCTGTATAATCTCAACTCTGTCAAATTTCATATACCACTCCAGACTCTGGAGCATCCAGTTCAGCTACTTTCCATATTGCTGTCTTTTGTGAATCCCTGGATCCTGCCTATATTTATTCTGCTTACCATATGTTATTTGCTCTCTAACAGTGTTTCATCGGTTAATCTGCTTATTTTTCTCCTCATTAGCAGTATTAGGTTAAAGCTGTCCTGACCAGATCAGGAGTTCCTAAGAAAATACACTCAGGAGATACACTCCTTCCCTCCCCCTATTTTCTCCCAAATGATAATTATGCTAACTGCAAACTTTTCTTCTTCAACTCTTAAATTAATGCTTTTCCAATGATGATAATTAAAAACTATGGCTATAACCAGAAAGGAATTGGGAAGACAAAGAGTAGGGATAGATTAGTACAAATTTTTTGGTTTTACAAAGTAGTTTACTTGAGACTAGTTCTTTTCCTGTTTTTTTTTTTTTTTTTAAGACTTTATTTGAAAATCAGAGTGATAGAGCAAGAGGGATAGACAGAGAAAGAGACCTTCTATCTGCTGATTCACTCCCCAATGGGCACAATGGCTGGAGCTGGGCCAGGCTGAAAATGGGAGCCTGGAACTCCATCTGGCTCTCCCACACCGGTGGCAGGGGCCCAAGTACTTGGACCATCCTCCTGCCTTCCCAGGTGCATTAGCAGGGAGCTGGACGGAAGCTGAGCAGCAGGGGATTCCAATCAGGACACTGTTTTGCGATGCTAGCATTGCAGGCGGTGGCTTAACACACTGAGCAATGCCAGCCCCTTCTTACTTCTTTTATAAGCAGAAATGTCACCATACTGATTAAACATTATTTACTTTTAAATCACGTATTTGTGACAATTTATTTCTTAGTAGTGGAAAAAAATCTAATTGTTCAAATGACTCAATTTTCTGTTCCACTCTAAATTTTGAGCTAACATCAATTAATTCTATATACATACTTTTGTTCTATATAAGTTCTAAATTAAAAATATTCACAAGATTTAAATTGAAAGTTACGATGTAGAGTATGGCACTAAAGAAGTTATAGAATTTATATTCAAAATGCAAGAATATTTTAGAGATCAGTGTATTTAGTTTAAGTAGAGATTTATAACAAATAAGTTGTTAGAAAAGTAACTTATATATAGTCTGACTTGCACAGCATATCTCAACTGCAAGGAATAAAAGAGGGGCCGGTGTTGTGGCACAGTGGATTAAGCTGTGGCCTGCAGCGCCAGCATCACATATGGGTTACAGCTGGAGTCCCTGCTCCACTTCTGATCCAGTTCCCTGCTAATGGCCTGGGAAAGCAGCAGCAGATGAACCAACTGTTTGGGACCCTGCACCCACATGGGAGACCCAGAGGAAGCTCCTGGCTCCTGGCTTCGGCCTGCCACAGCCCTAGCTATTGCAGCCACTTGATGAGTGAACCAGTGGACAGAAGATCTGTCTCTCCTTCTCTCTGTAACTCTATCTTTCAAAGAAGTAAATAGGGGCCGGCGCCATGACGCAATAGGTTAATTCTCCGCGCCTGCGGCGCCGGCATCCCATGAGGGTACTGGTTCTAGTCCCAGCTGCTTCTCTTCCAATCCAGCTCTCTGCTATGGCCTGGGAAAGCAATAGAAGATGGCCCAAGTGCTTGGGTCCCTGTACTCGTGTGGGAGACTAGGAAAGAAGCACATGGCACCTGGCTCCTGGCTTCAGCTCGGCGTAGCTCCAGCTGTTGTGGCCCTCTGGGGAGTGAACCAATGGAAGGAAGACCTCTCTCTGTCTCCTCCTCTCACTGTGTATAATTCTACCTCTCAAATAAATAAATAAAATCTTTAAAAAAATAAGTAAATAAATCTTAAAAAAAAAAAAGTTGGCAATAAAAACAAAACATAAAAATAAAAGAAAGTCACCACATGAACAATAAGTATGATTTTCTGAAGAATTCTGGGATGTGAAAAACAGTGTACATAAAATCATAATCCTTGAATAACTATTATTCCTAAGAACTGAGTAGGTAAAAATGAATTACTCAATAATACAAATGAAAACAATGAAACATGTAACACACTAACTTGTAAAAACTTACTAATTCTCCAGTAACTGGAATAGTCACATGTTCCTGCCAAACGGTTTACTGGTTGACATCAGTTACAAAAGGTAAATACAGTATAAGCAGAAGAAACCTATCTTTAAATACCACAGCTTCTGTTTCTAACACGGAATATAAATACATCATGTATTTACTAAATATGAAATGAATATTATTAAAATCATCACAAGTATAAAGATGGACAATACAAATTTTAATGTAAATATAAACTTTGGAAGGTTTTGGTGTTAAGATATGTAACCACATTTAGAAAATAGATGTTTTTTCTTTTTGTTACTCAAACACTGCAACTTTGTGAGTCATTTGGTTTTTGGAAGCCTATTTATTTCTACCAAAAATTGGACATTATCAGTGAGCAATCCAGTTAGGCAATTTCACTGTTGTGCGAACATGACAGACTGTACTTACATAAGCTAAAGTGGCTAGCACATCAACAGGTGATATAATCTTATGGGGCCACCACTGACATGTGGTCCATTGGTGATCAAAATGTCATTATGCCACATGACTGCAAGTCAGAGATACTACTTAAAATCATTCTACTCTTTTTCACTTCCCAGCTTATCTCTATTATTCTGTCCAGCTTTGGTAAGTCTGACTTCAATCTTTAGCCTATCTGAGCGGAAGAACAAATGTGTTCACCCCAGGAAAGTGAAGGTGTGAGATTTAATGTCCCAATGATGCACTGGGATTCTTAGGGACAAGACATCTCATAAATACAATGAATATGTTTGGAATCCATGGTTATATTTTCAGGCTAGAAGTGTCTTACATATTGCATTTAACATAAGTAACAGACAGTCTTATGTTTTATCATCAGTTTTGATAGACAGGGATACTCCAGTAATGACTACCACTATTTTTTTCTTTAACAAAGAAAACAAGTTAAATAGGAAGCTATTTCTCTCCCCTTTAGAAGTGACTACAAGTGCCATCTTTTTACATTTTACTTCAGATAATATGAAGGTTCACTTTCATTGAAACAACCCTACCCTAGAACTATTATAAAACACATACATCTGCCTCAAAAGATATCTGGTTACATCTCTTGCTCTGTCATGGTCAAGCAGAGCTAACATTCAATAAACGTCTGCCACTCCAGGGGGACCTTTAAAAAGGCTGCAATCCCATGAATAACTAACTTGAACAAATAACTCCTTTTACCATTCCCTTATTCAACTATTAAGCAGCTATAAATTGTTTCAATACTTAATAAGTAAATAAAACATGAAAAATATAAGGTAAGAAATATTCTGTTCTCATTTTTTATTAATTCCTCAATTGCTTTCCACATATAACTTTATGTATGCAAACGACCTTACCTCTCTTACAGATAGCTGTGGTGGGAAGGAGACAGAAAACACCAAGTTGGTGAACTCAAATCCAGAGGCCTCAACCTTTTGACACACCTAAGAGAGTATAACAATTACATAAATTTCAAGAATTGCTGAAAATATTCTATGAATTCCTGATCAAGGAGATGATATTGCTAAACTTCAAAACTTCCACGTGTGAGTGGGAGAGCTCCCACAAATATCCTGAGATTAAGTATTAGCCAACAATGCTGTCTAATATCACGAAAAACCAGAACAGGATGACATCTGCAGAACAATCTGGTGATTATCAAAAGACTTTTCTAGAAGTGGTCATCAAAGAAGGATGAACCTTTCTCTGAAGGGAGAAGAGAACTTCCACTTTGCTTATGGCCTTCTCTAAATACTGAAGGAGTTTGTGGATTCAAAAGGCTTCCATAGCCAAGGCAGCTCATGTCAAGAGCCTCAGGTGATCAGTGATGTCATACATAGGAGAGTTAACTGTGAAGTTAACAACAGGAGAGGCCGGCGCTGTGGTGTTGTGGGGAAAGCCGCCGCCTGCTCTGCCAGCATCCCATATGGGCGCCGATTCTTGTCCGAGCTGCTTCACCTCTGATCCAGCTCTCTGCTATGGCCTGGGAAAGCAGTGGAAGATGGCCCGAGCCCATGGGCCCCTGCACCCACATGGGAGACCCAGAACAAGCTCCTGGCTCCTGGCTCCTGGCTTTGGATCAGCGCAGTTCTGGCCATTGCGGCCAACTGGGGAGTGACCCTGTAGATGGAAAACCTCTCTCTCTCTCTATGCCTCTCCTCTCTCTCTCTGTGTAACTATGACTTTCAAATAAACAAAATAAATCTTTAAAATAAATAATTAACAACAGGAATCACTGTGCACTAACTTCCCATGCAGGACCTCTGTCCTCAAAGTTAGATTATGAGAGTTAATAGTAAAACTTGTTCTCAAAGACTTACTTCATCTTTGGCTTTTTTTTTTTTTTTTTTTTTTTGACAGAGTTAGTGAGAGAGAGAGAGAGAGAGAGAGAGAGAGAGAAAGGTCTTTCTTCCGTTGGTTCACTCCCCAAATGGCTGCCACGGACGGCATGCCGCGCCGATCCAAAGCCAGGAGCCAGGTGCTTCTCCTGGTCTCCCATGCAGGTGTAGGGCCCAAGCACTTGGGCCATCCTCCACTGCCTTCCCGGGCCACAGCAGAGAGATGGACTGGAAGAGGAACAACCGGGACAGAATCCAGCACCCCAACCAGGACTAGAACCCGGGGTGCCGGTGCTGCAGGCAGAGGTTTAGCCTAGTGAGTCGCGGCGCCGGCTGATTTACTTCATTTTAGTGTATTAAGTGTAGGATATTCTTACATCTCATGAGTTATAGTTATGAGTAAGAGCTAGCAAAAGATGTATCCTTAGGTTCTTCATTAATTAAATTTCTCAAAAAAAAAAAAAAAGTGAAATCAACTTTGAGATGCAATGCCCTTGTCTCAATCACTGAGGAACTTTTTTTCATACAATTTGTTGAACCCTTTACTTAGTATAAAGTTAATCTTCTGTGTATAAAGTTAATTGAAAATAAATCTTAGTAAAAAAACAAGACTGGAAATAGCAGAGGAAGAAGAAAGAGAGGTTGGGAGAGGGGGTAGGAGGGTGGGCACAGTGGGAAGAATCACTATGTTCCTAAAGTTGTGTTTATTCATTTATTGTTTTAAAGATTTACTTATTTATTTGAAAGTTAGAGTTACACAGAGAAAGAAGAAGAGTTGCAGAGAGAAAGAGAGAGGTCTTCCATCCGATGGTTCACTCCAAAGATGACCGCGATAGCCAGAGCTGTGCTGATCCAAAGCCAGGAGCCAGGAGCTTCCTCCAGGTCTCCCACGTAGGTGCAGGGGCCCAAGCACCTGGGCCACCCTCCACTGCTTTCCCAGGCCATAGCAGAGAGCTGGATCAGAAGTGGAGCAGCCAGGACACAAACCGATGCCCACATGGGATGCCAGCACTGTAGGCAGCGGCTTTATCTGCTACACCACAGTACCGGCCCTAAAGTTGTATTTATGAAATGCATGAAGATTGCATTCCTTAATAAAAGGTTTCTTAGGGAAAAAAAGAAAAGAGACTTTTCTTTTGGGTCACTTTATATTTTCTAAATGTATTCAAATAAATTAAAGCTAAATGTAGCCCTGGTTATTTTTATTTTTTTTATTTTTATTTATTTATTTTTTTTTTTGAGAGGTAGAGTTACAGACAGAGGGAGAGGGAGAGACAGAGAGAGATGTCTTCCTTCCATTGGTTCACTCCCCAAGTGGCCGCAATGGCTGGAGTTGCGCCAATCTGAAGCCAGGAGCCAGGAGCCAGGAGCTTCCTCCTGGTCTCCCATGCAGGTGCAGGGGCCCAAACACTTGGGCCATCCTCCACTGCTCTCCCAGGCCACAGCAGAGAGCTGGATTGGAAGTAGAGCAGCCGGACTAGAACCAGCGCCCATATGGGATGCTGGCGCTGCAGGCAGAGGATTAACCTAGTGTGCCACAGCACCGGCCCCTAAAAATTTGTATTTATTTTATTTGAAAGAATCAGAGAGAAAGATACAGAGAGACAGAGATCCCCTACCTGGTGATTCACTCCCAAATGCCTACAATAGCTGGGACTGGGCCAGGCTGAAGCCGGCAGCCAGGAACCTAATCCAGGTCTCCCATGTTGGATGGCAGGGTTCCAACTAGGTGAGCTACCACCAGCTGCCTCCACGGGTGCACATTAGCCTAAAGCTGGAATCAGAAGCAGATCTGAGATACAAACTTGGGCACTCTGATCTGGGATGCAGGTATACCAAGCGGGGTATTGCCTGCTCCACCAAATGCCACCCCATTTATAGCACTCTTGACAGCAGGAAACAAAAGGCAATCCCATGTCCAGTCATTTACCTTCTAACATTTCTTTTCTAGACAACACCGAGTATGAGTAAGAACTTTTCAGAGAGGACATTTGGCCTAATGGTTAAGGCACATAGGCGTGCCTGGGTTTGTCAGTCAGCTCCAACTCCTGATTGCATCTTCTTGCTGACACAGATCCTAGGACACAGCAGTGATGATTCAAGTAACTGGGGTCATGTGGGTGACTAGATTGCACCCCCAGGGCTCAGCTCTAGCCCAACCCAGCCCTGAGTGTTGCACACACCTGGACCAGTAAATGGGATCAATCTCCTCTCCTCCATTTCGACTACAGAACAGTACATCAGAAGAAATAAACACATCTTTCTAATCCTTACCAGTGTTAAATAGCAGAAAGAAAATAAACCACTATACTTTTCTTCAATTGAACAGCACGCATGACTGAAATACGTGACTGTATATTTCATTTATTTTCAGATATGTTAACTAAAAGGTAACCTGAGAATAGCAGATTTGTATTTTCAAAAACAATTAAGAAAATGGTGACTGGTGTTGTGCTACAGAAGGTCAAGCTGCCATCTGAGAAGATGGAATCCCATGCTAATCCAAGTCCTAGCTGTTCTGCTCTGATACAGCTCTCTGCTACAGCACCTGGCAAAGTCGCAGAGGTACCCGTGCTGTGGTATAGCAGCTTAAGCCGCTGACTGCAATGCCAGCATACCACATGGGTGCTAGTTTTGAGTCTCGGCTGCTCCACTTCCGATCCAGCTCCCTGCTAATGTGCCTGGGAAAGCAGCAGAGGATGGCGGAATGCTTAGGTTCCTACACCTATGTGGGAGACCCAGTTGAAGCTCCTGGCTCCTGGTTTTGGCCTGGCCCAGCCCCAGAAGGTTGTGGCCATTTAGGGAGTGAACCAGCAGATGGAAGATCTCCGTCTCTATCTCTCCCTCTCTCTGGAATTCTGCCTTTCCAATAAACAAATAACCTTAAAAAAATTATTTCAGGACTTGAAGCTGAAAAGTTCTGAATACTTGCAGCACTAACAAAAACTCGATTATTTACCTGTTTAATGAACTCTCTCTCACTGAATTCCTGAAGAATTCCCAGGCATACGTTGCATACATTTAAACTGGAGTTCTTGGAAGCACTGCTTTCATCTTCAGGGGCAGTGTTACTTCCTTCTCCATTCCGACTTGGACTATCAGTGCCATCTTCCAGACCTTGTAGTCGCATTTTCTTGGGAGGTGGGTTTGTAATTTCCAAAAGTAATTCATCTTTATCAGTTTTCAGAAATTTTTGTAGTTCATTGAGAAACTCCTGGAAAGTTAATAAAAGAAAAAGTAAAATCCTTTAACAATGCCCTTAAGGGTTTCTAGGTGAGATGAAGCATGACAATTAGGACATACGACAGACTCTACAATGCTGATTTAAATCAATTCTGGTGCAATCAATTTATTTTATTAGTCATCTTGGTCACAAGGGAATTTAAAAGAGAATTTTCCGTTCCTATTATTATATGTGTGAACGTTTTTTACAAAGGAGTTTCATGTACAAGTGAAACTAAAGTCTTAACTGAGGTAGGAAGGCTCTATGAACAAATTCATTTTTTTCTTACTAAATCTACATATAAATAAACCTTTTTAAGATTTATTTACTTACTTGAAAGAGTTAGAGAGAGGCAGAGACAGAGGCAGAGAGAGACAGACAGAGTCAGAAAGTCCGCCATCCACTGATTCCCCAAATGGCCACAACGGCCAGAGCTTAGCCAATTCGAAGCCAGGAGGCTCTTTTGGATCTCTCATGTAGCAGCAGGGACCCAAGGACTTGGGCCACCTTCCACTGCTTTCCCAGGCCATAGCAGAGAGCTGGATCGGAAGTGGAGCAGCCAGGACACGAACTGGCACCCATATGGGATGCCAGCACAACAGGCAGTGGCATTAGCAGCTATGCCACAGTACTGGCCCACTTACAAACAAATTTAACCTAGTGTATCTGAAACAATATTCCAACATACACTTGGTATAAAAATTGTCAATTATGCGGGGACCAGTGATGTGACTCAATGGGTTAACGCCCTGACCTGAAGCACTGGCATCCCATATGGGCGCCAGTTCAAGTCCCAGCTGCTCCTCTTCCGAACCAGCTCTCTGCTGTGGCCTGGGATAGCAGTAAAAGATGGCCCAAATCCTTGGGCCCCTGCACCCACGTGGGAGACCTGGAAGAGGCTCCTGGCTCCTGGCTTCAGATCAGCACAGCTCCATTCGTTGAGGCCATCTGGGGAGTGAACCATCAGATGGAAGACCTCTCTCTCTCTCTTCCTCTCCTCTCTCCTCTCTCTCTCTCTCTCTGCCTCTCCTCTCTCTGTGTAACTCCAACTTTCAAACAAATAAATACACCTTTTTTAAAAAATTGTCAATTATGGGGCTGGTGCTGTGGCATAGTTGGCTAAGCCTCTGCCTGCAGTACCAGCATCTCATATGAGCGCCAGTTCGAGTCCCAACTGCTCCACTTCCCAACCAGCTCTCTGCTATGGCCTGGGAAAGCAGCATAAGATGGCCCAACTGCTTGGGCCCCTGCATACCTGTAGGAGATCCAGAAGAAGCTCCTGGCTCCTAACTTTCATTCGGCCCAGCTCCAGCAGTTGCAACCATTTGGGGAGTAAACCAGCAGATGGAAGACCTTTCTCCTGGTCTCTCCCTCTCTGTGTCTGTGTAACTCTACCTCTTAAATAACTAAATAAAAAAAGTAAACCTTTAAAAAATTGTCAATGACATAATTTATACTTTTCCATAACACCCTGAACAAATGTATTAATTTGGCTTCTAGTTCTATTATGAGGGTCATTCAGCTGTAATTTCAGAGAAAAGAAACTTCAACTATAATTAAACTAAGTAGTCATTTTTGCTAGGTTAATAATCTCAATCACTAAAACTTCATAACTACAATATTTGTTTAATATGAAATCTGATAGGCCGGCGCTGTGGCTCAATAGGCTAATCCTCCGCCTTGCGGCGCCGGCACACCGGGTTCTAATCCCTGTCGGAGCGCTGGAGTCTTTCCCGGTTGCCCCTCTTCCAGGCCAGCTCTCTGCTGTGGCCCGGGAAGGCAGTGGAGGATGGGCCAAGTCCTTGGGCCCTGCACCCACATGGGAGACCAGGAGAAGCACCTGGCTCCTGCCTTCGGATCAGCGCAGTGCGCCGGCCGTGGCGGCCATTGGAGGGTGAACCAACGGCAAAAGGAAGACCTTTCTCTCTGTCTCTCTCTCACTATCCACTCTGCCTGTCAAAAAAAAAAAAAAAAAAAAAAAAAAAAAGAAATCTGATAAAGAAGTCAATTAAATAAAAATACCTTTGAGACACTTTACTAAACAAGGTACACAGATGCTGGCAATGGTGAAATGTGGCACCATAATTACAAAACATTTGGATGCATTAATTAAAAGAATCCCTTTACCATACGCTAGTTTGCCTAATTTCTGTCATTCCTTATACTAGATGGCAAAAACTGGCATTCTTTTGAAACCATTTTCATAGTTTAGATATTCTACTCATCTAAAAACTCAGAGGATGCTGCTTCTGTTTTGTCTAAATTAGACAGGTTTTATTATTTAGTTAATACCTTTTTGAAATTCATTCATATTACAATTTACTGACTATAAAGGAAAAACACCTTTCCTTCAAACAAATTTAATTCATTTTATTAAGACATTAGCACTCTTATTTTAATAGAGAAATATTCATAGATACATTTATAGGCATATTATGACCTACATAAACATGATTATCACCTAATATCAATGTCAGTATTTATATGAACGAAATACATAAAAATTTAAGGGCATTTCAAAAATTATCTTCATATATTTTGATATACTTATTTGCAAACAAAATAGGTAACACTGAGTCTCTATATAATACATTTTTTAAAAAATAATCCAGGGGTCGGCGCTGTGGCACAGCAGGTTAATGCCCTGACCTGACGCGTCGGCATACCATATGGGTGCCGGTTCAGGACCTGGCCACTCCACTTCCAATCCAGCTCTCTGTTGTGGCCTGGGAAAGCAGTAGAAAATGTGAGAGAGAGAGAGACAGAGAAAAAGGTCTTCCTTTTCCAAATGGCTGCTACGGCCAGCATGCTGCGCTGATCCAAAGCTAGGAACCAGGTGCTTCCTCCTGGTCTTCCATGCAGGTGCAGGGCCCAAGCACTTGGGCCATCCTCCACTGCCCTCCCGGGCCACAGCAGAGAGCTGGACTGGAAGAGGAGCAACCGGGACAGAATCCAGCGCCCCAACCGGGACTAGAACCCGGGTGCCAGCGCTGCAGGAGGATTAGCCAAGTGAGCCGCAGCGCCGGCCCTGATATATCTTAATAGTGTCTGGTGAGAAGTAATATTTGGTGATATTCTGCTTAGACACCTCTAAGGAAAAGTCGATAAAAGTATTAAATGCGGGCTGCTTCACTTCCCATCCAGCTCCTTGGTAATGGCCTAGGAAAAGCAGAGAAGATGGCCCAAGTGTTTGGGCCCTAGCCACCCACATGGGAGGACCAGGTGAAGCTCCTGGCTCCTGGCTTCAGCCTGGCCCGGCACTGGCCCTTGCAGCCATATGGGGAGTAAACAAGAAGATGGAAGATCTCTCTCTCCTTCTTTCTAATTCTGACTTTCAAATAAATAAATGAGTTTTTAAAAATAAAAACACATTAAATGTACTGTAGAATTCTTCCACAAAGACCCCACTACACTAAATGTGTATCACTTCTAACACCGACTTTTTAAGGTAACAGTTACTTCAAAATTATTATATGTAATTATTTTATTATAGTTTTTTAACTTAATGAAAAAGTATATATAGATATTTGCCCTCAAATGGACAAGTATTCATTTAAAATACAGAGAAATTTTCTTAACTTGAAAAAAGTGGAAATACCTTATAGGGACGTCTGTAAGGTGCATGAACATCCACACCACAGAACCTGAAGATACATCTTGGGCACGTCCCTGTATCTAGCAACAACCGGGCCACGTGCTTCTTTTCCTCGGTCAGTGGAAACATACTGATTAATCGTGACTAGAGAGACTAGAGAGAAAGAAAAGGTAAACCATAAGCAGCTTCAGTGTTTTACAGACAACTAATGTCATCACTTCAAAAAAAAAAAAAAAAAAAGATTTATTTTATTTATTTATTTCAAAGTCAGAGTTACACTGAGAGAGGAGGAGAGACCGAGAGAGAAAGAGAAAGAGGTCTTCTATCGGCTGGTTCACTCCCCAATTGGCCGCATTAGCCGGGGCTGCACTGATCTGAAGCCAGGAGCCAGGAACTTCCTCCAGGTCTCTCACACGGGTGCAGAGGCCCATGGACTTGGGCCATCTTCTACTGCTTTCCCAGGCCATAGCAGAGAGCTGGATCGGAAGTGGAGCAACCAGGACTCCAACCGGCACTCATATGGGATGCCAGCACTGCAGGCAGAGGCTTTACTCACTACGCCACAGCGCTGGCCCCTGAAATCATGCTTTTCATTAGGTATCACTGAACGTTTCTTGGAAACAGAATAGCTAATTCATTAAATTTTTCTATCAGAAATTAAAAATGAAGGCCAGCGCTGTGGTATAGTAGGCTAAGCGTCCACATGCAGAGCTGGGATCCCCTATCAGTGCTGGTTCATGTCCTGGCTGCTTCTCTTCCAATTCAGCTCTCTGCTATGGCCTGGGAAGGCAATGGATGATGGCCTAAGTGCTTGGGCCCCTGCACTCTTGTGAAAGACCAGGAAGAAGTTCCTGGCTCCTGGCTTCAGCTCAGCTCAGCAGGGCTGTTGCATCCATCTGGGGAGTGAACCAGCAATGGAAGACTTTCCGTCTCTCCCTTTTTCTGTCTGTAACTCTGCCTCTCAAATAGATAGATAAAATCTGAAAGAAAAAGAGATGGTCTAATCCATCAACATATCTGTTTAAAAAAAAAAGAAATTAAGAATGAACTTTCAGGGCCAGCACTGTGGCATAGTGGGCTATGCCTCTGCCTGCGGTGCCAGCATCCCGTATGGGCGCTGGTTCTAGTCCCGACTGTTCTACTTCCGATCCAGCTCTCTGTTATGGGCTGGGAAAGCAGTAGAAGATGGCCCATGTGCTTGGGCCGCTGCACCATGTGGGAGACCCAGCAAAAGCTCCTGGCTCCAGATTGCACAGCTCCAGGTGTTGCGGCCATTTGGGGAGTGAACCAGTGGGTAGAAGACCTTTCTCTCTTTTTCTCCTCTACCTCTCACATAAATAAAAAAAATCTTTTTAAAAAAAAAAAAACTTTCGGCCAGCGCCGTGGCTCAATAGGCTAATCCCCCGCCTTGCGGCACCGGCACACCAGGTTCTAGTCCCGGTTGGGGCGCCGGATTCTTTCCCGGTTGCCCCTCTTCCAGGCCAGCCCTCTGCTGTGGCCAGGGAGTGCAGTGGAGGATGGCCCAGGTGCTTGGGCCCTGCACCCCATGGAAGACCAGGATAAGTACCTGGCTCCTGCCTTCGGATCAGCACAGTGCACTGGCCGCAGCGCGCCAGCCGCGGCAGCCACTGGAGGGTGAACCAATGGCAAAAGGAAGACCTTCCTCTCTGTCTCTCTCTCTCTCACTGTCCACTCTGCCTGTCAAAAAAAAAAAAAAAAAAAAAAGAACTTTCTAAGAAAAAAAAACAAAGTATTCTAAGTTATATAATACTTAGTCAACCTTAATGATAGTTTAGCAGTCAAGTATTTACAATAAAATGACCAGGGGGCCGGTGCTGTGGTTTAGCAGGTAAAGCTGCTGCCTGCAGGGCCGGCATGCCACATGGGCATCGGTTCGAGTCCCAGCTGCTCCACTTCTCATCTAGCTCTCTGCTATGGCCTGGGAAAGCAGAATAAGATGGCCGAAGTCACTGGGCCCCTGCACCCGTGTGGGAGACCCAGAAGAAGCTCCTGGCTTAGGACTGGCGCAGCTCAGACCATTGCAGTCAACTGGGGAGTGAACCAACACATGGAAGACTTCTCTCTCTGTATAACTCTGCCTTTCAAATAAATAAATAAATTGACCAGTAGGTCTAAAAACATCAACTTTACTTTGATAATATAATAACCATGTGGCAACTAATAATCAGCAAAATGAGAAAAGTGTGCTCCTTTCATCCACAAGTAAAGCTTCTAACAAAAATAAATTCAGTGCAAAATATGACACTAACCATTTGTATAAAATATTGCCCATTTTTACAACTTGAATAAACTCACACAGAAAAAATATATATGGATGATAGTTTATCAGTCTGTTGCTAGGAGTACAACAAATTCAAATTAATCACTCTGAGCCGGCGCCGTGGCTCAATAGGCTAATCCTCCACCTTGCGGCGCCGGCACACCGGGTTCTAGTCCCGGTCGGGGCGCCGGATTCTGTCCCGGTTGCCCCTCTTCCAGGCCAGCTCTCTGCTATGGCCAGGGAGTGCAGTGGAGGATGGCCCAGGTGCTTGGGCCCTGCACCCCATGGGAGACCAGGAAAAGCACCTGGATCCTGGCTCCTGCCATCGGATCAGTGCGGTGCGCCGGCTGCAGCGGCGGCCATTGGAGGGTGAACCAACGGCAAAGGAAGACCTTTCTCTCTCTGTCTCTCTCTCTCACTGTCCACTCTGCCTATCAAAAATAAAAAAAAATAAAAAAAATAAAAAAAAAATTAATCACTCTGGCAAAAATAACTTCTGATTGGTGAATTCCATCTACATTACTTTTTTTTTTTTTTTTTTAATTTGACAGGTAGAGTTACAGACAGAGAGAGAGAGAGAAAGGTCTTCCTTCCTTGGTTCACTCTCCAAATGGCCGCAATAGCCGAAGCTGCGCTGATCCAAAGCCAGGAGCCAGGTGATTAGGACTTGGGCCATCTTCTACTTTCCCAGGCCACAGCAGAGAGCTGGACTGGAAGAGGAGCAGCCGGGACTGGAACTGGCGCCCATATGGGATGCAAGCACCACAGGCGGAGGATTAACCAAGTGAGCCACAGCGCCGGCCCTGTCTACATTACTTTAAAATGAGTCTATAACTCTACCTGTCAAATAAAAAAATAAATAAAAATGAAAATCTAGAGTTGTGTTATAATCAGTGATGACATGGCAATGTTTAGTATCATGTGTGCTGTCACATAAATAAAAGGCAGCAGGGCCTTTTAATCCATGTGATTTCACAATTCCAATGAGCTTGCTTCAAACTTGTACAAGGGTGAAGTGCTTACCAACAGCTTACTATGAGGACAAGATTCTTATCATTAGCCTATTTTCCAACACTTAAAAGTCACTACTAACTTCTAAGTTTTTAAATGTTGTGACTACCAAGAGGAGTAGATCTCTGATGCAAAATCATGAAAGAGACAGGAGTACAGTTCTACGTAATTCTTCACCTAAAAATCAACAGCCAGAGCTACAAAACACAGAGATGATCTCTGGCTGGGTTCTAGTTCAGATGAATATGTGAGTTAACAGGGAGATGAGGGGGGAAAAATCAGGCTTACCTAGACATTAACAGTGAGAACTTTCATGGACCGGGAATGGAAACACTTCTTTACGGTTGCCTAGGTAAGAAAGTATATAATATAAACTCTAAATAAATCCATGTGGGTTTATTCAAGTTGCAAAAATTGACAATATGAACTGTGTGGTCAATATGATTCACACAAGTGATCTGAATCCCTTCTCTCAGTCCATTTAATGTTAGTTTGATACCAACAAGGACTGGGATCCTGTATGGGGGCTGAACATCAGGGTTTTTTTTTTTTTTTTCTTTTTTTTGAAGATATATTTATTTATTTAAAAGTCAGAGTTACAGACAGAGAGGGAGAGTCAGAAATAGATCTCCCATCCACTGGTTCACTCCGCAAATGGTCGCAAAGTCTGGGGCTGAGCCAGGTGCTTCATCCAGGTCTCCCACATGGGTGCAACAGCCCAAGCATCTGGGTCATCTTCCACTGCTTTGCCAAGCACATTAGTAGGGAGCTGTATCAGAAATGGAGGAGCCAGGATTCATATGGGCTGCCAGAGTTACACAAGGTTAAGCACAGAAGCTTAACCCCCTGTGCCACAGCAATGGCCCCTGAATATAAGCATCTGAATCATATCCCTGGGGCTGGCATTTGGCATAGATGTTGAGAGAGGCTTGGGTCACTTGCACACCACATTGAAATACCTGGGTTTGAATCCCAGTCCTGCTCCCCACTCCAGCTTCCTGTTAATGCACACCCTTAGGAGGCAACAGGTGATGCCTGGGGTGATTGGGTTCCCGCCACCCACATGGGAGCCCCAGATTGAGTTTCTGGCTCCCTGTTGGGTCTGGCCTACCCAAGGTTATGGCAGGAGTGTGGGGAACCTCTGTTTCTGTCTACCTCTCAGATAAATAAGGTGCATCCCTGAAAGCATTCCCCTCACAGGCGATTGTTTCCCTCTCAAACCACCCCCCCCCCACCCACACACACACTTTCTGAGAGGCAGAGAGACACAGAGGAAGCTTGCATGCTCTGGTTCACTCCCCAGTTGCTGGCAGAGGCCTGCCAGTACCCCAACAGGCTGTAGTTGGGAGCCAGGAACTCAACCCAGGTGTCCTACACGTCCTCCATTAAGTTATTTTCCCTCCTTTTCATTAGTTAAGGTCAAGGATTTCATTTAATTCTGAATTAATCTTTACCTCAAAGAGAAACAAACACATCCTCCTCCAATAAACAAATCAACTAGTCCTTAAGAAGAACACTTTGTAGCAAAAACTTCCTTGGAAACCTAAAAAAAGTTATATCAAAAGACATTCTCTCTTTCCTTTGGTTTAAACAATTACTTCTCCAATAATTCACTGGAATAAAGGTACCATACAAAGTCAACCAGCGACAGATCACAATCTCCTGGCTCTGAGTAGTCCCCAAACCTGTTGTGAATTACAAAACCACCTGTCCTGAGTAATCTGAAGAGCTCAAAACAACATAACTCTCTTTCTCTTCCTCTCTCTCTCTCTCTCTCTCTCTCTCTCTCTCTGACACTGAGCTATGGATTTGCAGATTTACAAACCTCTCAACATCATTTTCACCCAGCAACAATCTAGCCACCCTTCAAGCACGTTAACATATGTAACTTAAATCTGGTGTTTCATCTTGATGAGATTTCTTAATGATCCAACTCCAGTTATCAGAAGCCAGTTGTTCCCTATTGGGGTCATTATCTCTGTAAGCAGCTCCTGAGAAAGCAGCCCACACTGTTAACTTTTCCAAGGTCGTTGGTGGGGATTCTGGCTTTTGGTTCATCTGTTTTACAGAAAGCACTCTGGAACAAGTTGCAACAGAACAGCCTCCCACGTGTCAGGATCCCGAACCCCTTCTCCACAAGCCAACCAGGAGCTCAGCCCCCGGTTTAATGGAGAGGAAGGACTTTGTTTTCCCTCTTGGACGGCTACCAAAAAGGAGGGATGGAATGGAGGGCATGAGAAAAGCCGGCCAAATGACCAGCCCGAATGTCAAATCGTGAGATCTTTGAAAACTTACTCTGCGACAGAAGGGTGTCGTCAGTTCCGAGGAGTGGGGGTGGGGGGTGTGGATTTCCAGGGAAGGAGGAGCTCACCGCTTCCTTGGGCTACGGACACACCGAGCTGTGGCACCCACCCTGCGTTCTTGGAAAGTTCATCCCAAAGTCTCACCTCGAGTCTCTGAAATGGCCATGCAAGCCCTTTCTCCCTCAGCCAGGTCCAAGACCTTTCCACTCACCCCTCCTTTAGAGCCGGAGGGCAACGACCCCCCGGAAGCCACACTCCCGCACCCAGTCCTCAGACCTCCCCGCTTTACCTTCTCTCAAGATGCTGGAGCCTGAGATTTAACCCCTTCTGACCCTCGGCGGGAATGGGGAAGACTAAAGACCACGCACCCACTGCGTCTAGCAATTCTGTTCCCGAGGAAACGAAAGCTTTAGAACGAAAGTGCCAGCCTCCGCTCGCCAAGACCGAGTGAATTTGGCCGTGCTTGTTGGAAGAGAGAGCTGTAAAACTGTCTAACTTACCGCTTAACCCCCACCCGGACCGGCAGTGCAGGGATGCATGGGGCAATACTCCCGGCTTTGGGGGTTTGGTCCCAGGGTAGCCTCCGGGGAATTCTGACGTCTAGGGCCTAGTAGCCGCTGCCAGAAATATCGATGGGCCCTTACTCTCAGGTTTGGAACGTAAATTCTTCCTAGGGCAAAAGAAAGAGACCGTGTCCCCCCTTTGATGTAGTGGTGTCCTCCCGCCTTCTGTCCCCGCGAGTAAAGCACCGCCAGCTCGGTCCCGACTGCGGGAGTGGGCGGAGTGGCGCAATCGGTGTTCTACCCATTGTGTCTGGCGCGCTAGGTGCTTGTGTACCAGGGCCTGGAGGGTCCGGGAGAGGAGCGGGAGCCGGACTGAAGCGGAGGAGATGGCGTCTCAGCCGCCGCCTCCCCCGAAGCCCTGGGAGACCCGCCGAATTCCAGGGGCCGGGCCGGGGCCAGGACCCGGCCCCACTTTCCAGTGAGTGTGGGATCCTTCAGACCACGCGTTTAGTGGGCCGGCGCGGGGGTTTGATCGGCGGCGGTTGAGTCCGTTGTTGGGAGGAGGTGTCCCCTCCCCCTTCAGCCAGTCCCAGGCGTGGGGTAGGAGATGGGGTCGGGGTGCTTGGGACGGGGGAATCCGTGTCCGACCGCTGTTCCCGACCGGGAGGCTCTCAGCAGCGACATTTTTCCGGCCGCCTCTCGGGGTCCGAGTGCCTGTTGGGAAGGGGGGCGACTTCTTGCCCTTTGAGGGGCGAGAGCCTGGCAGAAGGGCTTGACCCCCTCGAAAGCTGCAGACTCTGGGTCTGTGACAGTTGCGTTCTGCTTTTTCGTCCAGCACCGGCGTCGATAGGGAGCAAAGTCTTTTTATAAAAGCTATTAACAGCCTCTTGAGAAGTTGCTGAAAGCCCAAAAGGTCGCTTTTGCGCAACGGGAACCCAAGCCAGCACACTTTGCGTTCTTTGGAGCATACCTCGGCGGCTGTTTGGGAGAGGCGGCTGTAAAGCAGGACTGTGGAGCCTGAGGCCTCTGTGTGCCAGATAGTGTGCGTTATTTTCCTAAAGCCGACAGTGCTGTGCTTGTGTTGTTGTTAGTCAGTATCAAGTGGGTTTAGAACTTTAAAAAGGTGAACACGGAGATTGAAGAGTTTCATGAGCCTTTCGCGTTTGGTTTTGGGTGGATCTGGACATCTTCAATCTGTTGGTGTGACTGCAGTGTCAAATCACCCATTGTAGGTTTCCCTAACACATAAAGATCTCCAGCATATTGGAATGTGTTTTTGCTATGTTCTGAAATCTTGGGAGTTTTTTTTTTTATTTAACGCTAAAATGCTTGAGTACAATACCTTAATTTAGTAGTTATAGAAACATAGCAAATTATAAGCTTTAATTATGCTATCAAGCCACAGTAACACTTTTTTAAAGGAAAAACAGTTAAGGCCTTCCATTCTTTCCAGTAGTAACTTCTGTCCTTATTTGGTGCTTAGAGTACCCAAAACTTTTTTTCCCTCTTAGATTTGTTTCTGAGGTTTGTATTAAATATTCTTATACCTAAACCTTAAAAGTATAGTAAATAATAATATACATTATATATATAATTTCCAAGTCATATAATAGTAATATACGTTAATAATTATATACAGTATATATATCTATAACATGTACATATTATTGTTGCATAGATCTATTTGTCTCTTCATGTTTTCTGATCACTTTTCTTGACTGTTACCAATTTCTAAGAGTACTTCATTGTTGCTACTAATGTTTTGTATGTTTTACTAATACCTTCCCACCTGTAGCTTGTCTGCTCCTATACTTACATTTTCAATTTTTTTAAAATTATAGATGTTTTTCATTTTAGTATAGCCAAATTTGTCATGTTGTGCTTTTTGTTTTGTTGCTTCTACTTAAATCAGGAAATTTTTTCCATTTTCTTCTTAGTGTTCTGGTTTTCACATTCATGTTTTTAAATCTGGAGCTGACTTTGTTGTACAAAAATCAGTGTGACTTAGAGAACTAGTTTCTTTTCTATGTAGATCGCTAATTGTTCCAGCACTGTTTGCTGAGCAGTCTATTCCATCCTAGTTTGTAATACCATATATCCCATATAGAACTTTCCTAAATACGTGGTTCTGCTTTGGAGACTTTCTAACTGGTTCTGTATGTCTTTAAAAAAAAAGTATTTAAGTATTTGAAAGAGTTACAGAGAGCGAGCGAGCTCTTAACATCCATTGGTTCACTCCTCAGAGTGAACAGCCAGGGCCGCAACAGCTAGGCTGGGCCAGACTGAAGCCAGAAGCCAGGAGCTTCCTTCAGGTCTCCCAACATGGGTGGCAGGATCCCAGACACCTGGGCCATCTCCCACTGCTTTTCCCAGGCCATTAGCAGGGAGCTGGATCGGAAATGAAGCAGCCAGGACTTGAACCGGCACCGGATAGGATGCTAGCATCAGAGGTCAGGGCTTTACCCTCTACATCACAATGCAGGCCCCTATTTGTCTATTCTTAAGCTAGCACCACACTATCTTAATTACTGCTTTATGATTACTTTTGAAATATGTTGTGTCAAGAGTCTCCAGACACTGCTGTTCTTCAAAATTGCCTTTGTTACACTTAGCCTTTATAAAAGGACTTATTGGGACTTTTATTGGAATTGGTAAGAATTTCGGTCTCCTTTTTTTAACCTTAATATTTTATAATTATTTCTATCAAATCCTTTCCTAACTTTGTTTTTGTTGCTGATGTCAACAGACTTTTTTTATGTTTCCAGTTAGTTATTAACTGTTAGTTATTTTATGTTAGTTATTTTCAAGTTATTAGTTTGACATTTTCCAGCTAATTATTATTATTAATCAGACTGCTATTGATTTTTTAAACGTAAATATTATATACAGCATATCAAACTCTTGTTCTAATGGCTTGATTGAAATTCTCTTGAATTCTATGTAGACAATTCTGTCATCCTCAAATAAGCCAGTAGAGTTAGCCAACATCCTTATTTATTCCTGACTTCTCGTCAGAATGCTTATGAAGTCTATTATATTTGCTTTTTGGTTTTGAGAGGTATACTGTCAAACTTCTCTCTACCTAGCTCAGATTTTTATTATAAATAAGCATTTAATTTTTATGTATGACTTTTTTCTATCTGTCAAGATAATTATATTTTCCCTGTAATATGAAAATGTGGTTTATTACATTTTAGTGTTGAATCATTCTTGCATCTTGGGATAAATTCTCAATTTTTTTATATGTATCCTAATTTCTGTTTTAACATTTTGAGACCTTTGCATGTATGTTCCTTGATGAAATGGTAATTTTCTTCCTTTGTACTATACTTTTCTGGTTTTGTGGCAGACTTTTATAGCTTTCTAATTCTTATTCCTTTGTAGGTAGGCTGTCTTCTCCTTGTAGCCTTTAAGATTTTATCTAATACCTTGATCCTCTGTAGCTTCAGGATGTCTGAGTATGAGTATACACACACACACACACACACACACACACAGGCACCTTTATCTCCTGCTCAGAGCCATAGTATTCATTCCAGGACCCATAATGTTCAATCTGAGGATTCATGTCTATTTTTAATGCAGAATAATTCTCACCAATTATACCTTTAACTACTGTTTACAACCTTGCATACTTCTTTCCCAGCTCTTCCATTAAACACTCTGAGGAGTATCAGCAATGATTCTGCTACAAATAACAAATAGGTGACTTAATGTGCTTTAAACTATGAAGGCATTTATTGCTTAGTTAACAGTAAATCTTGAGATCTGCCTCAGTATTGTCATCTTAATTTTTCCGACTTCTTTTTCCCCTCCCTGTCAGCTTTCTGACAGTTTCAGCCATCTCTGTCTTGTTTTTGCTGCTTAAAAAAGAATCCTTTTTGCTTCTGATGGTTTCAAGATTTCCTCTTTGTTCTTGAGCATCACAAATTATACTTTGTAGGGGGCGGCATTGTGGCAGAGCAGGTAAAGCTTCTGCCTGCAAGGCTCGCATCGCATATGACAGCCGGTTGAGACCCGGCTGCTCCGTTTCTGATCCAGCTCCCTGCTAATGCTGCTGGAAAAGCAGCAGCAGATGGCCCAAGCGCCATCACGTGGGCACCCACATACAAGACCTGGATGACACTCCTGGCTTTGGCTGCAGCCTAGCCCAGCCCCAGCCGTTCCAGCCATTTGGTGAGTGAACCTGGGAAGTGAACCAGCATATAGGCAATCTCTCTCTCTCTCTAACTCTAACTCTAACTTTCAAATGAATAAATAAATCTTTAAAAAAAATTATACTTTGTTGGTCCTCAATGTGGTTTTCTTTGTATTATTCTGGGAGGGATTACTTAAAGCTGACTTTGAATGCCTCAGTGGTTTCAGCCATTATCACCTCAAATATTACTTCTGCCTATTTTCTCTTTAATCCTGTAAATCAAAGTACATAATCAGATCTGCCCTATCTCTCTATGTAAGCATATGCCCTGAATCTTACTCTCTCTTCTGTAGTTTGTTTTTTTATTCTGATGCTTCATTTGGCGTGTTTTTTTCTGAACTCTCTTAATTCACTGATATTTTTCTTTTAGTGTGTCTAACCCAGTATTAAACTGGTCATTGAGTCCATAGTTTCAGGCTTTTTTTTCCAAACATGAATTTTATCATCATATCGACTCAATTTTTTTTAAAGATTTATTTATTTGAAAGTCAGAGGGAGAGACAGAGAGAGAGAGAAACTCTTCCATTCTTCACTCGTCAAGTAGCTGCAACAGCCAGGGCTGGGCCACACCAAAGCCGGTAGCCTAGAGCTGTGTCCAGGTCTCCCAGCACTTGGGTCATATTCCACTGCCTTCCCAGGCCATTAGCAGGAAGCTGGATCGGAAATGGAGCAGCTGGTACATGAATTGGTGCACATTTAGTATGCTGGTTTTGCAGGCGCAGCTTTACCCACTTTACCACTATGCCATCCCCACTGAATGAATTATTTTTTTAATGAGAGCTGGACATTGTATGTAGACAATTTAAGACCTAAGGATGGTGTCTCTTCCAAAGACTTTCACATTTAACTCAAACTTCAGGCCATTCGCAAGTGAGGATCACTCCAAAGGGGCCAGCACTGTTGGGCAGCGGGTTAAAGCTGTGGCCTGCAGTGCTGGCATTCCATATGGGTGCCAGTTCTTGTCCTGGTTGCTCCACTTCCGATCTAGCTCTCTGCTATGGCTGGGAAAGCCGTAAAAGATGACCCAAGTCCTTGGGCCCCTGCACCCACATGGGAGACCCAGAAGAAACTCCTGGCTCCTGGCTTCAGATCAGCCCAGTTCCGGCCATTGCAGCCATTTGGGGAGTGAACCAGCAGATGGAAGACTCTCTCTCTGCCTCTGCCTCTCTGTAACTCTGCCTTTCAAATAAATAAATGTTAAAAAAAATTAGGTTAGGTTAAGGGTGTCACAACTTGTCACTGACTCGTAATATGTTTCATTTCCTGAATTTGAGGCCTTA